ATACATATATATTCATACAGAGCTACAAAAGAAAGACGTACCGTGGTCGCAGCGCTCGCCACTAATGAGTGATGTTTTTGTATCCCTTACCCCAACGCCAGGTGTGTTATTAGTGGATCAACCAAACGGAACCGTCTTACATTTTGCGAAAACACTTATACAATCGAATACGCAATATAAACACGCAGCTATATCATGTATTAAATCTTGTTTCATCTAAGACAGTTAGTGATCTACAGGGTGTTCGAGAAATCGCGTCACGCTATGGCGTTCAAACAAGTTATTCGACCTATTATAGCGCTATAAGCGCACTTCATAACTGCGTTTTATAGGGACGCGTCACTTTCTGTACACATATAAGATTGCCATTTGCTCAACAATTCTCACAGCCGTACATAAGGATAGACAGCGTTTTTCAATGCTTTTAAGAAATTACATAGCTTCAAAGATTTACCTGACTTTTAAACATGCCTACAAAACCTCGCGGAACCCAATAAAAGTGCGTCTTCCTTTAAATCATAACCCTTGCTTGTATAATGGGTTGTGTAACTTTTTTGAACACCCTGTCAATTCAGAGGGAGTAACTGATTTGTATAAGGACAAGCGTATATGATTTAGAAATCGTTCTTATATGTGCCGTTTATCTTGGCTTGCGTATATATCTTACAAATGCATAAAAGTCTCAATGTCTGTTTTTACATTTTACGCATAGACACTGGCTAACAGAGCCCCGTGTTATTCTTTAGCACGATAAACGCTAACGCAGCAACGCATGATCACAGACTCTATTGGAACATAGTACATATATTTTTGCTTATAATATTTGCTTGCAACTTCTCCAAAAAATGCATCGAAGCAACATGTTTCAGAAAGGAAAGCTTTTTATATAAATTGAATCATGCTTACAAAAATAGACAACGGTATAGTGAGTACCTTGAAATACGCAAGCAAAATATGATAACAAAAACGGTGTTTTTTTTTTTTAAATTTTTTTTATCACAGTTTGCGCGCGTGTGATAGACATCATTAAAGGGCAATTGTGATGTGAGAAGAATTGAGCGTTACATTTTTCAATTATTGCGAGACTCATATACAGTACATTATTATACACGAATTTCCTGTTCACCAGCGGATTTCTTCTAGTACCGTTTCGCGGTTTCTTTAAAGGCCTAAAAGGATTTTGTCAGTCAAAGTTGTTTTCAGTGAATTGCTGAGTGATCAACGTGGTGATTGAATAGGTGGCCCCTAGCATATGACTGCTGTCCTTTAACATAGAACATAAGGAGCTAGAGGAAACGCGCTTCATGCTTCTAACTTATGCTCAACTACAAACTTACATCTGCAATGAACATAGAACCAATTGGATCAATGTATCCAGCTCACACCGAAAAGGAGGCACCCTGAGAGCATGCTGATTATCACGCTTTTCGGGATTATGTGAACCAGCCATTTTCGCTCGTGGCTAACGTATAGGGTACATATAGACATAGTAGAAATATAAATAAAAGGCACAAGCTCCTAAAGATTAAACGTATT